CTCCCCATTTAAGAGCACATTGGTTTTCGAATATTTTACATTAGGTATTGTAGGTACTAGGGAGTAGGAGCACCGGAAAAGACGCGTTAGAATCGGTGCCAACTCCGGAGCAAACGTCCTCAGCAATATGGGGGCATTCCGTCAGGCCCACTCGACTTGTTGATGTCCAGGGAGAGGAGTGCATTCTGAACCGAGCGCTGTGAGAACCACACATCCGGCATGGAGCACTCATACCACGGGATGGTTGGCGGTGTGTTGCCCCCGTTATCAAGAGTCGAGTTGGACGCAAAAAGGGAGCCTAAAAGGTCAGCTTTCTCTTTTGCGGCGTGGGCCAGTGAGTCGTCCTCCCTGTGCAGAGATGGTAGTGATGGCTTACAGAAATTCCCTTGGACAGCCTTGGAATCACCCGAACCTCACAGCTATCACGCACATCCAACAATACTTCTCCCCAACCAACGTCACCTAACCTATCTTTTCGAACCACAATATAGCTTGAGGGAAATAGTTCATTATCATTGATATGCAGAAGAAACAGCGTTGGTGATAGCACGCAGCCTTGTGGAACACCATCGTTAATAGGCTTGTAGTCGGAGCATGCACCGTCTACAATGACCTTGATGCTCCGATCTGCAAGAAAGCTGGTGATCTATTTGCACAACTTCTCGGGAAGCCCAAAGGAAGGGAGCTTTGAAAGAAGCGCTTTGTGTCAAACCCGATCGAAGGCCTTCGCAATGTCCAAACTAACGGCCAATGCCTCCCCCTTGGACTCTACTGCCTCCACCCATCTGTGAGTCAAGTAGACCAGAAGATCACCAGCTGATCGACCCCGACGAAAACCATATTGGCGGTCACTAATCAGCTGGTGATCTTCAAGGTACCGCATGAGGTGGCAGTTTATAACGGATTCCATTATTTTGGAGAACAAGGGGGTGATGGCGATAGGCCTGTAGTTGGACGGGTCTGAGCGTTCGCCTTTTTTAGGGATCGGGTGGACAAAAGCTGTGTTCCATGATTTTGGGACTACGCCTAGAATAGAATAGAATAGAATGATTTTTATTCAATATTTATTTACCACTAGTTCGGAAAATAGCTCTGTCCTGGGAAGAACCAGCAAGAAACCCAGCGGGACTTTTTTTTTAAACATAATTTCACTTAACAATAATTTTGTTTATACAATTTTAAATGAATTTTCATAGAACCAGCATGGTGGCGATCACCTTATTCCCAGGGGTTATTTTCATTCATGTGTTCCTTGATATTATAATAACCCTTTTTGTACAGTTTTTCTTTAATAAAACTTTTAAACTTGTTTATTGACAAACTTTGAACATGTTCTGGGATTTTGTTGTAAAAGCGTATACATTGCCCCATAAATGTATTACTAATTCTGTGGAGTCTAGTAACTGGCATTACAAGCTTATGTTTGTTCTTAGTGTTTAAGATATGAACATCTTTATTCTTATTAAAGCTATTTATGTTTTTATATACATACATTACATTTTCATAAATATATTGCGATGCCAAAGTTAATATGTTTATTTCTTTAAATTTTTCTCTGAGGGACTCTTTACAATTTAGATTATAAATCGCCCGTACGGCTCTCTTTTGCAAAACAAATATAGCTTCAATATCAGTCGCATTACCCCATAGTAAAATTCCATAAGACATTACGCTATGAAAGTAACTAAAATACACTAACCTAGCCGTCTCAACATCTGTGAGACTTCTAATCTTTCTTACAGCATATGCTGCAGAACTAAGTCTGCTTGCTAATTTAGATATATGGGGGCCCCATTGAAGTTTCGCGTCAATAGTAATACCGAGAAAAACAGTGGTATCCACAAGACTCAACTCCTCCCCATTTAAGAGCACATTGGTTTTCGAATATTTTACATTAGGTATTGTAGGTACTAGGGAGTAGGAGCACCGGAAAAGACGCGTTAGAACCGGTGCCAACTCCGGAGCAAACGTCCTCAGCAATATGGGGGCATTCCGTCAGGCCCACTCGACTTGTTGATGTCCAGGGAGAGGAGTGCATTCTGAACCGAGCGTTGTGAGAACCACACATCCGGCATGGAGCACTCATACCACGGGATGGTTGGCGGTGTGTTGCCCCCGTTATCAAGAGTCGAGTTGGACGCAAAAAGGGAGCCTAAAAGGTCAGCTTTCTCTTTTGCGGCGTGGGCCAGTGAGTCGTCCTCCCTGTGCAGAGATGGTAGTGATGGCTTACAGAAATTCCCTTGGACAGCCTTGGCAAGAGACCAGAATGCACGGGTTCCCGAAGCAAGGCGAACTAGTTTTTCGCCGATTCTGCCTATGTGCTCTGACTTTGCCTTGGCAATAACTCTTTTGAAGGCCCTGGAGGCGAAGTCATACTTCTTTTTAAGTATGCTGGTGTTTACATCCCGAGACACCGAAGCCGCAGCCCAGGCTTGATAACACTCCTGCTTACTGCGTAATGCAGTCTTACAGGAGCGACCAAACCAAGGCTGAGATCTGCCTCCGATGGGTACCACAGGTGATGGAATAAATAGTTCCATTCCCTGTAGCACTACATCAGTGACAGAGTCAGCAACAGCGCTGGGATCCGGCGAGAAGCAAACCCGCCCCCATGGGTAGGATGCAAAGAAAGAACGCATTCCATCCCAATCTGCCGACCTGTAATGCCAAACACGGCGGCAACCTGCAGAACGCAACCGCGAGGGGAGCGTGAGTGGCACCACACTCCGGATCAGACAATGGTCCGAAGAGCCAAGAGGGGCATCGACGGAAACCTGATATCCGTCCGGATGAGTCAGCAGAAGGTCCAACAGGGAAGGTGTATGATCCTCAACATCTGGAATCCGCGTAGGAGGTGTAACCAGTTGTGTCAGACCATATGCCAAGGCAAAGTCATTAACAGATCTCCCCGCATGATCGTTTAAACGTGAACCGAGCCATTCGGCGTGGTGGGCGTTAAAATCGCCAAGGATCACGATCTCTGCGGATGGGACCTGTTGTAGCAAGGAATCTGTACCCATTTGGACGTGGTCGATGAGTCAGTCTGTTTCGGTATTACCGCTATGGGACCTATAGAGGCACCCGTACATATAATATATAATATAATAGATTTTTATTATTTTTTACTTTATTTAACTGCTAAGTTTGAGCACCTGTGGTGAAAAAGAAAACGTATAGGACCTGTGTGGCGTAAATGGTTCGCCTATATCATAAGGATTCTAAAACATCAGCATCATCATTACAGCCGTTCATAAGTCCACCGCTGAACATAGGCCTCCCCCAAGGAATGCCACAAAGCACGGTCCTGAGTCACCTGCATCCATCGACTTCCTGCATATCTTACCAGGTCGTCACAGCATCTAGTGGGAGGGACCGCCATACATTTCGTCCGCCGGTACGACGCCGCCACTTGAGAACCATTTTTCCCCATCGGCTGCTGTCGGTTCTTCGAACTATATGGCCGGCCCATTGCCACTTCAGCTTACTAATCCGTTGGGCTATGTCGGTCACCCTGGTTCTACTGCGGATATCCTCATTTCTAAGTTTATCACGCAGAGAAACTCCGAGCATAGCCTCTCCATAGCTCGCTGAGCGACCTTGAGCTTCCACATCCGACCAGCAGTGAAAGACCACGTCTCAGTACCATAGGTCATCACTGGCAACACGCACTGGTTGTACAGTCTTGTTGTTAAGTTTTGAGGTATACATCTTTTGAGGTTTATATCATTTGAGGTAAACATCAGCATACCATGTACTTAATGTCATTACTTACTGAGCTATAGCCGTTAATGTGTAAAAGTAGGCATTTCATTACAAAATTACAAAATTATTGGCAGATAGTTCTTTTTTTTTAACATTGCATTTGAAAATTTTACTTTACTACCTGCTGGCCTTATTTGGACGAATTCTAAGCTGTGTGAGCGAGACAAAAGGTGCCTAGGATTAATGTGAGTAAAAAGGATCGACAGATTCTCCATTGTATGAATTCGTGTTTGGAATTCGTGTTTGGTTATTATAAAATATAGCCAGTGCGTATCTCGACCTTCTTGACATCGCATGTGCTCTATTATTTATGACTTTTGGCTACAAAATACTATTTCGCATTCTACTGGACTCTTGACTTGTGCATTTTGATTGGATTTTGATTGTTTGGTGATAATTGTGTCAACTCGTTATTCTACTGGACTCATGATTTGTGCATAACAACAGGACTGTGTCATGTCACGAGAAATGTACACACCCCAAGAATATCCTATCATGCATTTTATCTATGGTGAATGTAGCGTGTTTACAATTATATATTTATATATATATATATATATATATATATATATATATATATATATATATATTTCAAAAATTTCATTGTAATCAGTTCAGTAGTGTAAGAGATCATCGCGGACAAAAAATGTGACACGTACTTTTTATATATAAAGATTATAAAGACTAGTTGACCAGGCAGACTTTGTCCTGCTCTTTACGACGTCCCTTTGTTCAAAAAATCTTTGCAGTTGCAATAAAAAATATTAAGAGTCACTTATCGGGACAAAAATATCCTAAATTTTATTAAAATCTCTTGAGTGGTTTCGAAGTTCATCGCGGAGAAACAATGTGACACGTGTTGCGGTTAGTTCCAAGTACTGTACTTGAAACTAACTGCATCAATAGTTTTTTGACACTTTTTTGACACCGATTAGCTTAGGCAGGCTTAGTAAGAGCTGACTACATCTTGACTCTGGTCATACTACTTCTTGTCAAAGGGTTTCATGTTTTGGGTGTATTATCCTCCGTCCAGCATGTGCAGCTCGGGTGAGGTTGGTAGCTAGCATATGACCTCTTAAATACCATACATTACACAACAACATATTGAAATTAATAAAACACGACTTTTCATAAACAGTAATATATATTTTAAAACACACTTGATATCTCTTTGGAGAATATAATAGATCTCAAATTTATTTTACATATTTCATCGTTACAACTTTGCATTATATCTTCTACCATAACCCTGTCCCCCGTTGCGACCACCACTTGTCTATATCAGCTGGTGTTGAGTTCTTTCCGTGGAGGCCAAGTGTGAAGGAGAACCCTTTTGGAAACCAATGAGTGTCAAGTTGCACGCTGATATTGAAGCCACCGACGCCGTCGATAACAGGGGTTGATTTGTGATTCGGTACTAACAAACGGGCGCACGTTATGGTGCATTCTAATCCAGCTGAAATCTTGATATAAATAATAAGAAACTATTGGTAAATCCAATTGTGCATGACTTAAGCGCATTAAAACAATTACGTATAACATGATTATACGTAAATTTTTAAAGTAGTTTAATTACATACAAAATTTCACTAAAAATGTTATAATTATTACTAAACTTCCAATTTTCCGATAATTTTATGTCAAATTTCAATTAAAAAAAAAGCTTGAAAATCCAAAATTGTAATACATATAATTTTCATATGACCGTGAAAAGAAATGTAAATTGTGGTTCTATTCTTCAAAGAGTTCCAGTAGCAGTCAACGAAGTAGGGGAGAGCGGGGTTAAGAGTTCCCGGGGTAAATTGTTCCGATTGAAATAGCTCCGTGAGAAAATAAGATAAAAATATGTAGTAAATTCGTCAAGAAACTGAACGTTGCAGCGCACCGATGGCAGCCATCATAGTTTGGCCAGTGGCGACGGTATATCGGAAAGTGAGTTCGTGAATCAACTGATCCACGTAAGTAAATCTGATCTACGTAATTTTCATTTTTAATATTTATGGTCAATCTCACGAATCGTTATAATTAACTTTTTAATTCTTTGGTGTTTTGATACAGAAATATATCGAGTATCTTGATATACTAAGTTAAAACTGCGTATGTTTCGTAATCTAACCTATGATTTACTTTTTCGAAGACATGTGTTATTGGGGCTAGAAGTTCCTTTCTTTTGGGATATGTTGTGACCTCGGAACAACTTACCCCAGTTCATTTGTACTAGTAATGCAGAAAAAAATATTGTTTTTTTCTTTTGCAGCATATGAATTTATCTCGGAATCAACACGAGGTTCTGTATCTTAGGAGTTTATGCAAAGGGCGGCGGATGGAATCATCAAATATGGAAGAAAAATATAATCCGTTACTAAAGAATTAGATATTTGTCATATGATATTACACAGGTATATGAAATAGCTAAAACCTAGACTAGAAAACGTCACGGTTGGGCTACAAAAAAGTTAGTTTGGTCTTTATTCACTAAAGTACGAACAGGAAAATAAATTAGCAGAGTATCTCTTAAAATGTGCATCAACCCCTCTCTGGCAAAGAAGAGGGCTCTTAGAAAGTTCGCAATATAACAGACACCCCTGTAAAACAAAACTTAGCAGAAGAACAAAGCAAGAGAAAGAAAGTGAGCACTGAGAATTAAGAAGCAAGAAAAAAAAAAGGAAAGGGATAGGACACAAGAAAAGGGAAGTTTGAAAGGTTTTTCGAACGAGCTGGGGAAGTTTTGAGAATGAAGAGGACAGTTTAGAGTAGGTATTATTGTCAAGTCTGCTGTGACAGTTATTCTAACTCAAATTCTGGTGAAGAATGGGTTCAGTGTCAAGAATGTACGAATTGAGCCCATTCCAGATGTAATAAGTATGGAGACTTGTTAAATGTTAACATACATTTGTTCGAATTCTCAATCTGATGAATCATGTGCTGATTAATTAATATGTTTTTTTGTTTTTCTGGTCAAAGACGACTTTCTGATATGGTTGAAAGTAAAGAATGAACTAACTTATCAATGCTGATTAGCTACCCAAGCTGTTAATTATATGTGTAATTGTTAATGTAACTACAAAATGTAAAGTACAAATAACATAGGTATGTGAACTTTAAATATGTTTAGTTTATTAACAATTTAAGAGAAAACAATTGTTTATTCTTATAATATTATGGATTAGTTCTCAAAAAGTTGTTCAAACCAATAATTGTTGTTTTTTTTCACAAATTATACCTTTAATAAAGTAAGAACTTACCCCATCCTAGTAACAACTTACCCCAAAACGGGGTAAATTATTACTTTCTGACTTTATGTATTGTAAAATTAAATGTAAAAAAATCTAACGACAAACGTTCCAAAAAACCTTCTTTATATCATCGTTACATATATTTCCAGATTGTGACCTGGTAAAACTAATGCTACAGCTATTTATATATATATATATATATATATATATATATATATATATATATATAATGTTAAATCATAAACGGAACTTTTAGCCCCGCTCTCCTCTACACCTTCAAGTTACTCCATCAAGTCTGAAGGTAAGGTCTCATCATAGCTAACAAAACGATCTCGACCTAATCCGCCTCGTCGAAAATTTCCAGTAGCAGTCATCAAAGTACACCTTCAGGTCACTCTATCAATTCCGGAGGTAAGTTCTCATCATAACAAACATAACGAGGCCAAAGTCGGCACATCTAGTTCTACTCTTCACGGAGTTCCAGTAGCATTCACTGAAGTACACCTTGAGATAACTCCACAAAGTTCAATATGTATCATCAAAGTCCACTGCTGAACGTAGGCCTCCCCCAAGGAATGCGGCAAAGCACGGACACAAGTCACCTGCATCGATCGACTTCCAGGTCGCATGTCTTACCAGGTCTTCACTTCATCTAGTTGGGAGCACGCCCTACACTTTGCCTACCCGTACGTATAAGTATATTTATATATAAATGCTACGTACTTTTAGCGAAACAAAAAATTTGTAATAAAAATCTGTGATTATAAAAATAATAACCTTGGTCAAATATGTATCAAATTTGGTTTTTGGAATATCTTCTGGTCTACCTGACTCATTGATGGGCGGAGGCAGATAGAAGCGAAGGCCTTCGATCGAGTCTGGCACAAAGCGTTTCTTTCAAAGCCCCCTTCCTATGAGCTTCCCGAGAAATTGTGCAATAGGATTAACAGTTTCCTTGCTGATCGGAGCATCAAGGTCGTTGTAGATGATACATGATCTGATTACAAGACTACTAACCCTTCCACAAGGCTATCACCAACGCAGTTTCTTTTACATATCAATGATATGTTGCAAACTGGTAACATTCATTGCTATGCAGACAACAACACTGGTGATGCTATATACACCGGCCATGCCAATATTTCTCGGTAAAACGTCGCCGAGTACCGGGAGAAACTTGTGTCTGAAGTCGAGTCTTTGCTGAACAAAATCTTGAATTAGCGGCGACTAAATCTAGTCCAGTTCAATCCCCAGAAGGCACAAATTTGCGCGTTTACCGCTAAAAATAACCTCTTTGTCGTATCTCCTCAATTTCAAGGTGCTCCCCTTGGTGCCTCAGCTAGCATCGGAATCCTCGGCATCGACATATCGAATAGTGTATAGTTTCGTGGTCACTTGGAAGGGAAGGCCAAATTGGCCTCTAACAAGCTTGGCGGATTTATTTCATGCCGGCACATCGCTCGCAACTTTACAAAGCGTAATTTCGGCGTCACATGGAATACTGTTTTCATCTCTGGGCCGGGGCACTCCAGTGTCAGCTCCTTCCACTGGACCGCATCCAGTGCAGAGTTGTTAGAATCGTTGAGGACCGAGTTCTTTCTTATCGGCTCGATTCGTTGGTGCTGCGTAGGGATATTGCATCTCTTTTCATATTTTATCGCATGTACCAGGGAGTGATCTGAGGAATTGTTCGGATTAATTCCAGCCGCCAAATTTCACGAACGCACATGGCGCCAAAATTCACGATACCATCCTCACCACTGTGCGTTTTACTAGGAGTTTTCTTCCTCGTACAACTTCTCTGTGAAATTGTTAACCACCGACGATTTTTCCGGACCGATACGACTTAAGGATCTTCAAGAAAAGAGCTTACACCTTTCTAAAAGGCCGGCAACGCACCTGCAATTCTCCTGGTGTTGCGGTTGTTCATGGGCGGCGGTAGTCATTTACCATTAGATGAGCTGTATGCTCGTTTGCGTCTTCTATAAAAAAAATATTGTATTTCTACAGCAATCGATATTTTTGCTGCCTGTTACCCCTCCTATAAGCAAACGATACAGTAATCCACTCAAAATGGCAGACAAGCGTGGAGTGAGGCAGAGCAAAGTGTATTTAGTAAAATAAATTATTGTTAGTAAAATAATGACTGCTCAAAACGCCGAAAATTTCGTGATTTCTCAGCCGAAAAAAAGTTATTATAAGTAAAAAAAGAAACAAAATTAAACTACTATTTACATTCCATCCTACATGATAGATGAACAGATTAAAAATAGATTGAGTTAAACAATTGATATTTTCAAAAGTTATCGTGTTTACCTCTCCATGCGGACTTAATATATATCGACAAATCTACACCATAAGTCACTAAAACCAATTTATGTAAAAATTACAATTAATCGATTAAAAAAAAATATTAATAACTTTAACAATCATATAACTTTCTGCCAATGTGCTTTTTATATCATTTCTATGTTCAATGTGATTGTTAGATACGATTTTATGCGACAAAACGTTGGAATCTTGATTTTTAGGCTCTTGTAGAACATACCTCCGCGCTTTGCGCTTAAGGCATGCAATAATTATTTACTATCAATAATTAATCGATAACCCTTTACCAGGTATTGGCAGCTTAAGACTATATCCATACTATATCCACTACTCATATCGTCCCGTGAGTGTTGTGATAGGTAACAGAAAGGAAAAAATAGAAGATGTAGGGTAGCAGCATTTTTCTGATAACTATTACATAATAATAAAAACTGTAGATGCCAACCCGCCTGCCAAGCGTGACGACTAACCACATATTGCCATAGTTACCACACTCATGACGAAAGGTACAAAGAAACGGTCTCAGTTCTCGGCGACCCCGCTATTCGGATTGATAAGAATCTCCGGTAGAGATTCAGTTGCCAATTTAAACGAGTCGGCCTGGCAAATTTTAATGCACGCACTCGTAAGGAAGAAGAAATGAACAAGTTCCGTTGTAGTATTACAGGATTATCTGAGGTCTGAAGAGAGAGAAAGGACACGTTACTCATTGAAAGAAATTCTAACATCGGAAGGGCGACTATCTGTCGAATGGATTTATCGTCCGCAAATTTCTCGTTAACAACGTTAATAATTCAAAATTAAAAAATTTGAAGAACCGACTTCAATATAAATTATTAAAAATAACGCAAAAAGTATTGGTCCGACTTTGATCAAATTAATATGGGACCACATGAGAAGCGCCAGCTTTCAAATAAAAAAAAGAATGATCAAAATCGGTTCACCCAGAAAAAAGGTATGAAGTAATAAACAAAAAAAAAACAGTTGACCTGAGTACCTCCTCTTTTTTGAAGTCGGTAGAAAATATTAAAGGGTATCAAAACAAAGGTTGCGTAAAGTATACTCCGAATCACCAAACGGTATTCGTTAAAGGTCATACAGCGTTACGCACCAAGATGAACCATTTAATTCAGCAGTGGCACTACAGAAAGTAAGATTGACTTCATTATCATGACCAGACGGCAACTGTTCAATGAAAACATGTAGCGATCACCGAATGGTGGTCTATAATGTGTGGAGTGTAAATGTGTGCGTGGAGTGTACAGTGAAGTGTAGTGTGGGATTTAAAAAAATAAAATAGTCTGTAATTCGACTTTTATACAGATTTGTAATGTATATCGGAAACCGAAGA